TTATTTTTTATGGTTCCTCCCATCTAACATGGCAGAGTTTTTTTCAGCATCCCTTTATGCCCTGTTGTCACTCTTCTTCTGTGCCGCCTTAAGAATTCTATTCTTCCTCCATAATATCATCCGCCAAATCTTATCGCTTCGGTTGACATCGCTCAAGTATTAACCAGCTCGTGTCCAAACCAATACACCTTCGCAGGTCAATGAGTCACAACTACTTGTCGGGCCCTATGCCATCTACATTGGGCAAATGCACATCGATGAGTTACTTGTACGCATGAAACTCCGCATACATGAGAAGAAGCTTCTTCTGACTATCGTACGCCATGAATGATAGTTTGTTTGCCCTTTATGGCGTGAGTGAACCTCACTGTGTTTTCTGACAGAACATCCTGCTCAAGGCCCAGGCCCAGCATGGCCCAGCATCACCTTTTGTTGTGGAGGCCAGCCCTATGTTGTTCCTAAAGTTTTTGCATCTACTGAGGTAGATCAACCCTTTTCGAAAATTTGATCCCCTTACACTCCTGTATGCAGGGATTTGAGCTTGAACTACATATCAGGGACCATCCCGGAAACCATTGGCAACCTCCAAGCATTGAAGTACTTGTGAGCACAAATGGAGGATGTATGACTTGGTTGGCTCGGTATTGACAAGACATTACGAGTGGGCAAGAGTGAGTGGGAGTGTCAGAAACGTCCACACAGACACCAATCTGATATCCCTTTGTCGCTCAGCAGGCATCAAACTAGTCATTCCATAGCTTGTATGCGTCGCCACTCGTTTGGTAGCATGTGACTCGTCCATGCTCTATGCTGCTTCTCCTTGCATCCTGCCTCGTGGACAGGAACCTCTAATGCCTGAAAGTTACACTCTCTACTGCCTGCAGATATGTGAACTCTAACCAGCTGGGAGGCACCGTCCCTTCCTCTGTGGGAAATTTATCTTCGTTAATCGATCTGTGAGTTTGCTCCTGAATGTAAAGCATGCACCAATGGTGCCAAAACGTTGAATGGACATGGTATGCATATGTGTACGATGGGAGCATGTCATGTACTAAATTGGTCTTTGATGTCACTACTCCTTGCTTGCACACTCATGCCACGAGGCAATAATCTTAAAATGTTTGTGTAGTATGCCTCGTTTTCCAAAATATGTGAGACTGAACATACTTCAGTCTCACCTCTGGCCCGCCTTAAAATGTTTGTGTAGACCATGTGATGAGGGAGAAGCATCGGATATAAATGTCTGGGGAACAGATTGAAGGGGAAAGTGTGCGTTTAAAAGGAGAGGGTATGCCCCGTACCCTCACAGGATGTCCCTACATTAGTGTCCACTCTATCTATGTATGTTTTGTGTCAACCTTACCTACAGATTCTTGAACTCCAACCAATTGAACGGCACCCTCCCTTCCTCTCTGGGCTGCCTCTCGTCGTTGAATCGATTGTGAGTTCCTACCTGGATGCTTCTCCTGCTCATGGATGGACATGGTGAAGAAAGAGAGAGGCAGGAAAGGGAGTAGGAGGGCGTTACTGAAGACGTTGAGAGTTGGGCGTTGATGTTACATAGGAATGGAAGACGGCGAGTATGGTGATGCAGGATTTGCTGGTACGAGTATGACCCTTGCACTTTCATAACCTGCATGTTTCTTCTTTCCACGTTTCCCCCAATGCTGCCTTGACATTGTCTCAGAGTTCTCCAGTACAATCAACTCACGGGGCAGATACCGGAGTCACTAGGCAGTCTCACCAACCTCCGTGCACTGTGAGTGAGGATTTCCACATCAGACTATGGGGCAGATTCAGGGAGACAGGGGTGGTACAGAGGGACATGGGCTGCAAAAAGCATGGGTACAGCTAGCCATTTTCTTTGTGTTTCTCCTCTCTCATGTATACTCCACGTGACCAAGCCTCGTGCAGCAGCTTCCCTGTGCTCCTCAACCCTTCATGAACCATCACTAAACACCAACTCCATCTGTTTCATTTTTAAGATAAGGCATCCATCTCAATATTTGCAGTGAGGTCAGGAACGCCGCGATCCGCAAGAACAAGCTTCCAATCGCATTCCATTGTTTGCAGTTATGCGAAATACAACCACTTGACAGGAGTAATACCATCATCATTTGGGAACTGGACGTCTATGACCACCTTGTGAGCATCGATAGGAGCATGCACGAGGCAATCTGTTGTCTTTGATTCCTCTTGTCTTGCCTGGTCACACGTTCTTCAAACCTGCTGCTTCCAGTAATCATTTTTGTGTTCCAACATTCAATCGAAATCGTATGACCTATCTCAATATCGCACCAAACCCTCATCATGTCTATCCATACCAACTTGGCACTCTATTGAAAAATGGCCACTTTTGTGCTGCTGCTCCGCTAGACTTGCCTATCAGTGCCTCCTTACCCCTCGTGTTCCTCTTTCCAGGGATTTCGGTGTGAACAACATTACAGGGTCCATTCCCGACACCTTTGGCAACCTCAAAGCCATGAAGTACCTGTGAGCTCTATCCTTGGATGACAGAAGCTGGCAGATACAGAGCAAGAGTGGGTGCGAGGATGCTAGATAGGTGAGTGCAGAGGTTCGTTATGTGAAAGAATAAGTTTGTAATTATCCCTCTTCTAGCTACCTCTAATTGATCCGAATTTATTAAATGGCCGCTCTCTCATATTCACCCAGCTGCCATCAACCTGTCCAGCAAAAAAGGCTTACTCATCCCCTTCTACTGTGACGTAACGTACTGTACCCCTCATCGTGACTTTCACAGATATGCTTACACCAACAAGTTGACAGGCAGCCTCCCATCCTCCCTGGGGAAACTCACTGCTCTCGTCCAACTGTGAGTTCCAGCCAGCCCGCTGATACACGATATGGGGAATACGGAGTTGTTTCGCTGGTATGCATGCGGTGTTATTGACATGACATGAGCCAAGACAAAGATTCATAGCTCCAGCACATGCGGGCCAGAGTGATGCTGAGTTGGCCGGATGAGCCTTGGCCTGATTCGACTCATTCCATCTTATTTCACCACACTTAAATTGGCTTGTACATTAAGTTGACTTGAAGTCATGTTTTGCACCTGTACAATGTACGTCACTTCTTACATTGTATGTCTCGTCCATAGACAATAGTGAATCAACATCCATGGATTATGCATACCTTGAGTAAGGTGTTATGTGAATGAAATCGATATGCTGGTACTATCGTTGCCTCTCGTGATGTGAAGCAAATGGTATGAAACAAGGTAGGTTGCATGCAGCATAATGACATTTGCGGATCTATCAGTGTCGTCCCCTGTGTCCTTTATCATATCAAGCCCTGCCAATTCCACACAAGTTTTCCTGTCATTTCCGAAGGGAGAATTTTGCTTGTGAATAATATGCCCACAGTCTTTACATTGCCACCATCTCTGCTGACAATGCCTCTCTTAACATCCTGCTTCAAGCCTTGGCTCCTTCAAGGCGATTTTGTTCTTCCCTGTGCCTCTCCACTCCCCTTGTGCTCTCGTGGCCATGCCTCAGGCTCCTAAGCGTCAACCAGCTCTCAGGGCAGATTCCAGAGTCCCTCGGCAATCTGGCCAGCCTTGAAGCTCTGTGAGTGCAAAATCCAAGAGCAAGCATATGACCAAAACTTATCCATTTATTTTTAGAGTTATTTAAGGGAGGTTGTGCTAAACGTATCCAATATTTTTGTCATTCGAAAAACAGCACACATATGTACTCGCAAACATTTATTAGGGAAAAAAATGGTTGGCCTACACTCCAGTACCTAAAAAAATCGTACTTCAGCATCTCGTGATTTAAATATGCCAGCTTGCTCCTTCTCTTTTTGATTGACATGTAATCAACTCCCAGTTTTGTTCCTCAAATACCCTGGTGGAGGCCCGTTTTGTGCCTCCAATCCCCTTATCATCTCTTCTTCAGCGACTTCAATTTCAACAACCTCGCAGGGACTATTCCCGCCACTTTGAGCAACCTCCAAGCCTTGAAGTATTTGTAAGCTCCGATGTGGGGGGGCCTGGTCCCGTGTACCCGTGGGAGCTATCATCCTGAAGGGTCATGGTGAACAGAGGTGTAAAGAGGTGAAGGTGGAGTGGTGAGAGGTGCTGTTTATTGTACTGGACTGATAATGAAGGGAGTTTTGTTGGGAGTATTAAACCTTCACTTGCAGCTCCCTTGAGACCACCTCAGACTACCAACGTTCCCTTAACCTTGTCGGTTTGATGAATAGTGTGGATGGATGCGTTCCTCCAGCTCTCAGTTGTCGGTTCATCCAGCACTCCATTCTTTGTTCGCCCACAAACGATGTAGCTTCCAGAAGGATAAATTATTCACCCTTTTCTCACTTCCACGACTTCACCCTCTTCCCCCCCACACACTTTACCTCCGTCCCCACAACTTCTCATTGTGCCTCCTGCAGCATTCTGGGGTACAACCAGCTGGTGGGGATGCTGCCCTCTGTGGAGCTCATGCCATCACTCAAATTCATGATCGCAAGCTACAACTTCCTCACCAGTGTAGCGATTCCCACTCCAGCATGCCCCGCGTACCAGGCTGTGCTGCAGTTCAACTGCTTTCCCACCAACCTGACCATCTGTGGAAGCCTGCAATACCAGAAGAATGCTACCTGGTGCACGTTATTCTGTGGAAACGGGCCCTCCAGTCCGCCTTGTAGTGGCCATGGAGTGTGCTCCTACTTGCCCCCGAGCACAGACGCCAAGTGCGCTTGTGACTATGGTTATACGGATGGAACCGCTAATGCCACATGTGTGGCACAACAAGGTACGAAAGATCTCTCTCTGCTACTATGCAGTAAATCTATGTGATCTCTCTCTGAGTGTTTAACTGAAAACGCTGATCCAAAACAAAATCTCGAACTCCTGTTGTGGCCATCCATGTCAATATGAGGCATGTGTTTTTCACACCAGCTTCCCTCATGCCACATAAAACACACTCCAACTTTCATGTGTATTGCCATTTCAACGGTCTACCATCTAATACAACCATATGTCCCACACATTGTCTTCCGCAGGACCATACCTCCCTCGATACCTCTCCTCCTACTCACAACCGGTGAATCTGTCACAGTCGGCGTCTTCTACCCCCAACGGCTCCATCTCTCTCTCTCCTGCATTGGCCAATGCATCATGGGGAGCAGCTTTCATACAGAGGCCCATCACCCTATTCTTCTCTACCAGCAAAAAGTCACCCTGCGACCTACCTGTAGCCTTTTCGGTTTCATTTGCATTTCGAATGACCCCTGCTTCTCCTGTTGGTTCGTCCACAGCAGGCGAGGGCCTGGCATTTGTAGTAACTGCGGCAGCACCCCATGGAGCTGCAGCAGGGGTGGGGCTGGGAGGGGTGGGGAAGCGGAGTGTGGCGGTGGAGTTTGACTCGGTGCTGAGTGTGAAGCAAAGCGACCCCAACGACAACCATGTGGGCGTCAATGTGGGCGGCTCACCTGTGTCCCTCGCCTCTGCCACGGCCCCTCTCATCCTCAACGACGGCCACACCAAGCACGCCTGGATCCACTACGACCCCACCAGCGGCGGCACCCTCCGAGTCTTCCTCTCAGCCTCCAGGCAGCAGCCGTTCAAGGCTGTGGTGACGGCGAGAGTGTCTCTGTGCAGCGCGCTCAAGCCCACCGTCGGCAATGCCTCCTTCCTCTTTGGCTTTGTAGCTGCCTCAAACAACACTCAGAGGCACGACATTCTGTGGTGGAACATTGCGACAGGTGAGCGCAATGGGGTTTTTGCTTATTGAACATCATGTTTTGTCGGTGGGAGCTTTTGAGAATACAACTAACTTCACATAAAACGCTCGCTTTTCCTGATGCTACCTTTGTTGCTATCAGATCTCTTGCAAAAGCTTGTCATATTGTTTTTGCGTGCGTGTGTGTGCGCGCGCGCACGTACGTGCATGCGTGATTGTGTGGGTGTGTGCACGTTCCTTTGTGTGTGTGTGGTGGTGGGGATGGTGGAAGAGGGGCGGGAGGGAGCGGGAGGGGAAGGGATGGGGTGTGTGCGTGTGTGCGTGTACGAGTGCATGCATATGTCTATCGATCTCTATGTGCAGAATCACCAAATGTAATAGTTGAAAGGCCGCCTCAGTCTGGTAAGAGCCTCATCATTGCCTTTCGTTTTGCAATAGGATATTAAGCAACTTCTTATATCCTTAAAAGTAGTCACCTCCGTTTTCATTTTACTTGTGAGCCGCTCAAACGTCCGTTTCTAATCTCCTAGCTCCATCCTGGGTGAACCAACAGGTAGTGAATTCGGGCAGGTGGCATCAAATGAAGAGGTTACAGCCAGCAGCGCCGACATTGTGCCCTCTTCGTTCCACTATGCCAGCCTAGCGTTCCTTCCCAGTGCGGATGGGCTGCCTTCCTGGACCCTCCCTTCCTTTGTCTCTTGGATGCGAGATGAGTCAACGTGGCCCGTGAAGAACCAGCATGGATGCGGTATGGAATACATGGGGTATGGCATGGCATCAATGCTGTAGGGTATGGCATGGTTGGTGTTAGGATAGGATGATACGATATGGAAAGGATACAGTATGCTGTGGACGTATGAAGTCACATACTGAGGGTCGTGTTATGCGGTAGCCATGTTCTCTGCTCAAGCTTGAGTGTGGGCCTAGGTTTATGCACACACAACGTGCACAACTAGAAGCATACTCTATCAGTCTTCCAAACTTTTTGGTTATCCTCTCACCCCTGCTCATCACAACCCCCAATTATCCCTCTTTACCCTCTTGCATTCTCTCATTCCCCCACCGGGCTGCAGCCGACTCCTCAGCATACGCAGTGGTGGCGGCTGTGGAGGCAGCTTACAGCATTGCAAGCAACTCATATAGTCCCCCAAGGCTGTCGGTGGAGCAGCTGCGGGTGGCCCTGTCGGCCAACTGCGACGACATGCCTCCGCGCGATGTGCTGGCCTTCCTGGTGGCTGCCACGCGCAAGGGAGGGGGGCTCGTGGATGACGCAGCAGCAGCGGCCGCCAGTCCCCACAGCATGGCGTCCGCCGGCCGGCGGGAGAGACTGGCCGCGGTGAGTTGCAGCGAGAGGTAGGTTCTGGTGGTGATGAACGATGATGCATGACAAGTGGTGATGATGAATGGTGATACACGCAAGTGGTCTTGATGAATTATGATGCATGCGGGTGGTGTTGATGAATGGTGATACACGCCATGAACAGCTGGAATTGCATGGAGAACAAGGTGAACAGAAAAGGCACTCGCACCACACCCAAAACCACTGGAGAGCACTCACACCTCAACCCCTTCCGCTTTGGTATTGCAGAAGGTGAAGTACTACGGAGTTCAGGGCTTTGAGGAGAGCTCGTTTGGAGGCTGGCTGGGCCTTCTGTTGGCAGTCCAGCGACAGCCAGTGGTTGCACGAATAGAGGCATCTGCACAATCATTCCTAGACTACAATGGGGTAAGACGGCATTGATCTTCACACCATCATTATATACCAGCAAATGTGGCTGATTCATTGACATTCGCAAGGCCGTGGCTGTATCCAGTGGCTAAAACCAGTGCATATGTGCATCCCGGTTTCATTTTCACCATCTTACCTCCCAGACACTGAAGTACTCTGATGCCAGCTGCTTCAAAAATGGAGTGAACCACGCTGTTCTGGTGGTGGGATATGCTGTTAGAGAGGACCTCTCCAGTCCGTTTAGCCTGCCTGCGCCTCTCTGGGTGATCCGCAACTCATGGGGCAGCGAGTGGGGCGCTGCAGGACACATGTTCATGGACATGCAGAGCGGGCCGGGCGTCTGTGGCATCAACACACTGCCAGGCATCTTCCCCATCCTCCGATGTACGCACAGAGCATTCAGTTCATGGCTCCTCTCATGTACTCTTGTTTATGTCTGCATAGGTGCTCCTTCACTTGTTGCGATGAAAAATGCAGCTTTATTGGATAACATGGCGCCAGTGATAATTGCGGGAAAACTTCTGGTGAAACATGATTTCTACGTCACGTGCTCTTGCACTGTACATTCTCTCGTCTGTATGTGGTACTCTTTGCAGTTATTGTGCCTTTTCTTATGTTGGGCACTAATACCATGTTGCATTACAGACTCTTGGACTATGTACTCCACGTATGCTCTTGCTCTAACTATGCATTGTCGCATCTGGGTGTTATGCGCGTGGTGTGTGTGTGGCAGCTACTGCTGACCCATGTGGCAGCAAGTCAGTGATGCTGGCGGGCCCACCAGGAGTGGCAGGGAGCAACGCGTTCAACCCGTGTGGGCAGTTCAAGTGCTCCAAGGCCGGAGCATCCAACCGCTGTGCCTGTGCTGCTCCCCACTTCGTCCAGGCCTCCCACCCCGACGGCTCCAACACCTGCGCCTATGGTGAACCCATCGCCCCCCACGCTCCATTGCACTCTATTGCCTTTGTTTTCCTATTTATTGCTCACCCCAACACAACATTCCCCTCTCTGCCCTCTTTGCTGCTGCCAGTGGACGCCTGTGGGCTGGCAGGCAGCAACCCGTGTGTGGTGGGCACGTGTGTGAACGATGGGAAGGGCAGCTACTCCTGTGTGTGTCCCCCGGGGTTCTTTCAAGGCACCACCGCCAAGGGAACCCTCTCTTGTGCTCCTGGTACCATCCATCTTGTTCCATCCTCCGCTGCATCTAATATTCTCCGTCCTGCCTCTCTTTTTGTTCCGGCTGTTGATTTCAAACTCTCACAGTGCAGTTTCAAATCATGATGAAAGAACACCTAAACAAATCGTTTTTTTTTTGTTTGGCCGTTATGTTCCATATAAAGGAAGTGTCTCCTAGGGTACCTTACCGACCTTCCAGAAAATGCAAGCTAGGTACAAATAAGGTGAAGCAAAGAGTATGAGCTTTGGGTTCAAATGGAGGTTTCCATGAGCATCATATGGTCTTTGTTCTTACGACGAGCATTATCCTAGATAACTAATCAAGCTGACCCTAATCTGTTGTGCTGGTATCTGTGCTGAAACCTGCAGGTGACAGCAAGGGGAGCTACACGGTGCGTGGCAGCAACGTGTGGTGCTCTCACTTGCTGCCCATGCTTGGCCTCACTCTGGACGAACTCAAGCAGAAGAACAAGGTTGGTCGCATCGTATGCCTATCTAGTGCTCAACACAACTGATCACCACTCGAGCTGACACAATAAGTAACGTTTATTATGGAGTGGCTTTCTTCCTCCATGGCTGCAGAAGCTCTCCTGCTCCAAGCCCATCCCAGTGGGGTTCAAACTGAACATCACGCCGTCTCAGCTTCTTGCCGGCTGCTCGCTCATCTACACCACCCACCTTGTGAGTGCACCAAGACAGCACTGCATCCATCATCTCACTCTGCTGATATTCATTGCATTGGACTGCAAGACTGGTTTCGTAGACGCGTTCCATTCTTGACTGTAACTTGATTGAATGGGAAATTGGATGTGCCTGCAGGGCGACAGCTGTGCATCGATAACCGCGCTGTTTGGACTGAGCGAGGGGTGCCCTGTGGAGGGCGAGGCATGTGAGGAGGCGTTGGTGGGGCTCAACCCTGGGCTGGACTGTGCAGCACTCACGGGCAGGTTGGCCGTGTGTGTAGAGCGGGAGGAGAGCAAGGCGGGGATGGTGGCAGTGTGTGACCAGCAGTATGAAATGGAGGGCAGTGATGGCTGCGATGCTGCAAGAATAGCCGTGAATCCGCCTTTGAGCCCTCTAGAGTTCTATCGCCTCAACCCAGGCATCAACTGCAACAACCGCCTGCCGACTACGTTTGAGGGCTTCTCACAGCGCAAGGTGCGGCATTTGTGTGCTAAGTTGGATGTGATGCAGCTTCAGATTGCAGATGCTGTAATTTCTTGATCTCTGTAAACCTCCATCCATTGAGTTGCTTCCTGCAGGCATGCATTCACAGCAGCGTCAGGTTCAGAATCGGCACATGCCCAGGGGGCACGTACAACATATCAGCCGGGGACACCTGTGACAAGATTGATGTACTGGGATTTGCTAGCATCAAGGGCTGCTACAGGAAGATTAGTGGATTTGAGTGCTTGGAGAAGTCACCTGCTGGTGGACGGTTTGAAAAGAGACCCCTATTCCTTCCTTACCGTCATCGCCCGGATAGAAGACATATATGTCTTATCTTATACATTAGAAAAAAAGCTTGCTGTGTCTTGTAATTGGGACGGTTTGGGGTGTCTTATAATTCTTATAAATGGACAAAAAACCGTGTAGAAGATACCCCCTAGTCATAAGATTGCCCCTAATCCCTATACTGGCTTAACTTGTACACACCGACAGTTGTCTTATAATCAGGAACACCCATCTATAAGAAACACCCTTTTTAACGACACCCCATGAGTTCAATTCGACACTGTCTTATATCCGGGCGATGACGGTAGATCGTAAGAAACCAATTTTTACTGTATGATGAAGATAATACTGCACATCGAGTGCCACCAGAAAAACCAAACGCATTTGCTTCTTGTCCTAACATGGTCAACATGTCTGACATCTAGTTTGACAGATTGACCACGTGGAAAGTCCAAATTTTGCCTCCTAGAAACCTACGCGCCAAGTCGAAAATGCATGAACCATACACGAATTACACTACAAGAGGGGTCTTCAAATGATAAATATCAATAGGCAGGACCTCAGAGAGTGAATCTAAAAAGGTGTTCTACGAGTGTTTATTGTTACATGTGCTAGCTATTACCCTGAACATCAAACACTAGAACTACTTTCTATTCATCTCAGTGAAACGTTTTGCTAACTTAGCTGACCTTGCACTCAGTATGTCTTAGCTTCCCGCATCTGCCCATCGCCGTGCCGTCGTTGCACCTGATCCTTACAGCATTGACACCTGTCTCTGTCCGATGCCAAATGTCTACTCTCTTCTCTTGCCACCCAGTGTTTACTTCTACACAATTCCCGCTTCAACTCAGCGATGTTTTCCACACTCCCGTCCCCACACTCTTTCCCCCCCTCCCCCTCCCACCTTTATTGTTGCGCGCTCAGCTCAGCACCCTCGCTTTCCCCATCGTCACCCCCTCTCTACCCTACACCTCGTTGCATCCTTCCTTGTCCCCTGGTGCGCTTGCAGATCCGGGCAGCCCGAATGCGTGCACGGTGCACAGAGGTGCTTAAGTGATACGCAAGGGAATGATGAACTATCAAAGGGGAGAGATACATGTACAAACTCTAAGATGAGTTGTACCCTATAGAAGCTACCCCACTATAGCCTAAACAACAAATATATATAGTTTGACACTCCCCCACAGGTGAAGTTGTGGATAGCAAGAATAACGAATGGTTACAAGACCAGTCAAAAGAAGAAGCAAAAACAAAGCACAGGTTGGATCTCAAGACCACCACACAGTCCGAGCACAAGCGAGCTACCACAAGGCCTGTTGACATGCAGTATTATAATAGCACAAGCAGTACAGTGATCACAACCTAGCAAGAATAAACAAGTAGGTATATATAAATATATATGAAAGTACAAAACAAAGTCAAGAGATCAGCAAATGAGGCAGAGTAGGCACAATACCTAGAGTGGCGCAAAAATGCTGATGATCACTAGACCCAAGGGCCTTGGTAAAAATATCAGCAGTTTTGGCCTATGAGGCCACGTAAGATAGGCAAAGCTGACCACGCTGCTGCAGCTCTCGAATGAGAAAGTAATGAAGGGCAATGTACTTTGTTCTGTGCTCCACTCTCTGATCTTGACACAAGGCAATCATGGCTTTGTTGTCAACGTACAGAGCCGGAGGAGAACGAGGCCACTCACCCAAGTCTGTGAGTAAGTAGGTCAGCCAATGCAACTCGTGTGTAGCCATAGCCCTAGCAAAGATCTCAGCCTTACAGCTGGAGTCAAGCACAAGACGAGCAAGTGGACCTCCACAAGACAGAGCCAGTGCCAAACTGAAGCCCTGTGAAGACCGGGAAGTCGCCTGGTCATTAACCCACGAAGCGTCTAAGTGTGTTATGAGCACAACCGAGCCCCGTCCTACAAGCATAAGCCCCGTGCTTGATGTACTAGCCAAGTAGCGCAGCACCTTTGAAGCAACATACCAGTGCTCAAAGTAGTGTCTCCCGAGCGCAACGTAGCACGCTAGGATTCTAAGAGGGTATGCGAGGTCAGGCCGAGTGCACGGCATCACGTACACGAGGGAAACTACAAGCTCTGGATAGACACCAATGGGCTCTACGGACTTGTCTAAAGATGGAGCTGAGAGCGAGTGGCCCATAGGCAGAGGACTGGGATATGGCAAGGAGAACGGAAAGTGGAAGCGTTGAAAGACTTGCTCCACCATGTGTGACTGAGTCTGAGTAATGGTGCGCGCTACTCTGTTTCGGGTGATCTGCAAGCCAATATACCTCCAGAGCTCATCTAGGTCAGTGCATGTTTGTCTCTTCTGCAGCTCCGCCTTCAAAAGGGCCAGTGCCTCAGTGTCGGCAGTAGTAAAGACCAATTTGTCGATATAGACGAGGATGTAGAACGGCGGTAGAGAAGTGTCGGTGCCGCAAAAACAGCGACGGGTCAGCAGTCGAAGGAGCAAAAGCAAGAGCCGCAAGTGTCGTCCTCAGTGTGTCGTGCCACTCGCGAGGCGCCTAGCGGAGATCGTAGACTGGTCATCGGAGGCTCCACTGGGTACCCCCAGGAAACGACCCAGTGAAGCCAGGGGAGCGGCGCAGCCAGACCTTCTCGTGAATGCTGCCCTGTAAGAAAGTTGTGCTGAAGTCAAGCGAGTGCAGCTCATAGTGACGCTGTGCTGCAACGTGCAGTAACACCTGAAGAGTGATCATCTTCGGGGTGGGGGAGAAGGCCTGGAAGGAGTCGACCCCTTGACGTTGACTGAAGCCTCGTGCAAAGTAACGCGCCTTGAAGACAGGCGGGGAACCCGGCGGCTGCTTCACCCTGAAAATCCACATGGCATCGACTATGTTCACCCCATTTGGGGGAACTGCGCTGACATAGGTGCCTGTGGACTTCTAGGATGCCATCTCTGTGTCCATGGCTATCTGCCACTGAGAGGAAGAAGGATCTGTGATTGCCTCTGTGTAAGAGCGCGGGGTCAGGATGTCCACTGCATCCGGGTCTCCCTCAGGGCAAAGCAGCATGGTAGTGAGACAAGGTATAGCAGCCGTGAGGCACTCTAGTGCAAACTGTCATCACGGATGTCATAGCCAAGGGCAAGCTCACCCCTTACAGATGGAGGACAGGCAAATTCAGAAACTAGACTTGTGAGGTAGGTAAGGCGGCAGATAGCAGGAATGTCAATGAGCTCAGTGACAACGGCAGACGCAGCAGGAGACAAAAAGGTAGGGTTTATAACCAGTGTGGCGAGACAATGGGTGACATTCAGACTGGAAGCATGAGCAAGGTTCGAGAAAGGGTCAGGAACGTTAAGAAGGAAGGACGAAGGAGGTAACGGGAGGAAAACACGCTGTGGAACACATGAAGGACGAAGTGGCATGGTGTGAGTGGTGGGGATAGCTGGAGGGCAAAAACGGCGAGCACGAGGAGTAGGAGCAACAGGTGAGGCAGGACGAGACGCAAGCTCTCGATGCTCATTCAGGGAGTCCGTCAACGGAGTGTAACAAGAAGGAGCAGTAGGTGGGGAGTCAGGCGGTAATTGTGTCTGAGACAGGTCAGGCGGTGGAAACAGTAGAGAAGGAGTAGTACTAGTGGTAGACGGCTCTGCAGAGGCGGACGAGAGTTGGAGAAGCTTGTAAAGCGCTGAGTCAGGTGGTGGCAGCGACGACTGTGGCTGCTCCCAGAACAACAGTCGCCACAGCAGCTGCTGCACAGCACCTCTAGAATTAGCTCCTCTAGTTACTAGTACTAGGAACACCTCTGGTCCCAAAACGCTCTACACCCTCTGTGGCCGCACCTCCAAGTCCCGAACCTACAGCTCCAAAACCTCCAGAGTCACCAGAATCTCCAACACCTCTAGCTCCAGAACCTCCAGCACCTCTAGCTCCAGTACTTCTAGCACCAGAATCTCCATCACTTCTAGAATCTCCATCACTTTCAGCTCCAGCACCTCCAGCTCCGGTACCTCTAGCACTGGCATCCCCACAACATCCAGCAACGAACCCAGGAAGTGGCAGCGATGATTGCTGCTGCTCCTATAACAAGGGCCACTGCAGCAGAGGGTACGACGCACCCACAAAGCCTCCATCACTAGTACTCTCGACTTCACCACCACTAGGAAGCTCAGCACCCCCTGAGACATCACCCTCAGAGTCAGCACCAACAGAGTCAGCACCCCCAGAACCAACACCCCCATATCCCACGCCTCCAGAGTCACCACCCCCAACAGCACCAGAGTCCACAGCGACAGGATGCAGAGGCGGAAAAGACGATCGAGGCGAAAAGCCAAGAGGAGTCTTCAAGCGCGGTGGGCGGTGAGAGGACGATGTTTCATCAGCAGCAAGGTCACCCCTTTCAGCCGAGCCAGAGGGGTCTGAGGAGACCTCCAAAGGCTCAACCAAGGGTGGTGGTGTGACCTGAGACACCCAGGACGAGAGGGAGGGGGGGGGGGGTTCTACCCAGGGGTAACAGGAACCAGGAAGAGGGGCGTTGAGGGGGCGGGGAGGGGGGGGGGGGAGAAGGGGGAGAAAGGGGGGGGGGGGGGAACAGGGGAACTGTGGCGGGGGAAGAGTCGGTAGTAGCAAACCAATTTGTCAAAGGTGACGTCGCGGGAGGATAGGTTGCGGCGCGTGGCTGGGTGGTTAAACTGCCAATCAGGCACATCGGTAGGAAAGCCAAGGAAGACACAGCGAACAATGGGAGGAGAGAGCTTGCCCGTTGAAGGATCGCGGACAATGGCGGACGAACCCCAAACCAGAAACGCCAATGCATCTCCAACCTCCCCTGTCCACAACAGGGTAGGGGAGGTCACTGGCATGGAGACATGGGGCCAGAGGTTGAGCTGATGCGCGGCATATCGGACCGCAAACGGCCACAGAAATTGGGGGCCAGCCGAATGGATCATGGAGGTGCAAGCAACCTCCATGATCAAGCCAGTGCGGCGCTCAACGATCCCAGTCTGCTATGGAGAGGCCAGGAGCAAGAATGACTGGGTGATGCCCTCCTCACGACAAAATTCCTCAAGTGGACCAGAGGAAAACTCACCTCCACGGTGTTGGTGCAGTCGAAGCACTAGGAGGTCCTACAAGAAGCGTGCTCTCATCTGGGGACGAACAGCGCAGATCCAAGGGATGAAAACACCATAGGCATCACCCTTGTGCTGCAAGGGAAACACTGTTGCGTAGCGGGTGAAGTTGTCAATGACCAGCAAAAAGTAGCGCGCCTAGCGCGGCCCTGAGACGGGGGTGAGGCCCCACATGTCCATCTTCAATTTTTGCAGAGGAGCAGTGGCTAGAGGAAGCAAGGAGGAGTGAGGAGCGGCGCGCTGCCGCCCCTCGACGCAGGGAGTGCACGGCAGCGCATGCGACGGAGTGGGGGCCGGGAGTGCGGAAGGCCAGAGATGAGGAAAAGCGAGTGCGTGCGGCGCAGACACTGAACGGAGGAGTGACCAAGATGGTGGTGCTAGAGGAGGGAACGGTGTGCGAGTAACCGACACGAGAAAGATGCAGCTATCCGAACTGATGCAGCCATCTGAGCAGACGCAGTGTGCAGTGTGTATAGTCCAGACCCAGGCTTTAGAGTGAACATGGCAAAGTGATCGCTAGTCACTGTGTGCATACAGATGGCCGTTTGGTCGACCCTAGGCGTGGTGGTGGTGATTAGATGAGTGTCAGAACATTATAGCTTATACTTTTGTGGAGGCTGTAGTGGGGTATCCCATAGGGGGTACAACCCAATTAGGGTTAGTACTTGTACCCACTTCATTCATAGTTCATTCACTCTCGTTTCAGTTTTCTCATGGTATCGAGCAGGTTCCCTCGTGGGAACTGTTCCTAGGGCCCTACTACTGCGTCCGCTGCCACTCGATCTGTCGCACGCCCCGTGGCGTGCGACCTATTTTCATCTCGGCGCGCGGCAATTTTCTTACTGGCGCACGCCCCGAGGCGCGCGGCCCCGCTACCCCGTCGCGCCGCCCTAGCGGCCGTATCGCGCCGCCCTAGCGGCCCCGATCCGCCGCCCTAGTGGCCCCGTCACCTACCCCTACGGC